CCAGGCACCTGCGGCCAATGCCCCAGCCACACCGTTTGTGAATAATATACATAAATGTTCCGCCTTGTGCACAGGACGCTACCAATCCCCGGGTTTTGATACGTGCTACCTTTTAGATAGATATCCAGGCAACAACACTTGCTCACAAAAACCAGGTTTTATGGAAGCGGCGGCGTGCGTTTTATGTGTGGGCCCTCATCACGGAGAATGTGCTGCCTACCTGCGGTTCGCGGTGGGTGGCCGGCGGAAGTTATTTCGGGCTGCATCGGATGAAAGGGGGTTTATGGCTTGCAGAGCTGCCGAAAGCCACTGCGGGCTCGGGTCGACGAAATGGGAGGCTCCAGGGCCTTCTATTTTAGGGGCAGTGCGCACTCTTTCAGACACACATGACCACCGGGCGGGAGGGTCGGATCCCAAGCTGTGGACCACCACCCACCGCTGGTGAGGATTTTGCCGCGTGAGCTGGCGGGATTATCGTATCTAGCTATACATCATGCTTCTCGGTGATCGCTCACTTGCAAGTCCCTGCATAATATGCACGATACAGTACAGTTGTTCGTCGCGACTTACCAAATTCGGGGAATGATCCTCCCCTAGTTTAACAACCCCAGGGACCCACTAATTGGTCTATGGATCCATAGGGACGAGAGTTCGTAATCCCCACTGGGGACTGTCCTGTGTTATACCAGGGGATAAATAGCCCCCTCGATAAATAAGGTGTGTAGTTTTCTCAGTACGGGCAGGAGAATAAAGTTGTTTTGTTACTGTCGGACCATAGGGAGTGACCACATGGTATTGGACCATAGAGAGAGACCACATGGTATTGGACCATAGGGAGAGACCACATGGTATTGGACCATAGAGAGAGACCACATGGTATTGGACCATAGGGAGAGACCACATGGTATTGGACCATAGAGAGATACCACATGGTATCTCACATCCACATGGCTTACTAACTTTATTATTTTGATCTCTGATTCCGACTGTAGCACTGAGGAAACCGGTTTCCATGATTACCACCTGCCTCGTCTGCTTCATGATACCTTTAAGATAATTTCTTTATAGAATTTTCAGATTTGTTCTGACTACCTCCAGCTCCAGTTTTTCTCAGTCGCTTTGGTGCATTTCTCACATCAGACTTAAAGTTCTCATAACTTAGTTCAAACAAAGAGTCATGAGTGACATCATCGCAGCAGTTTCTCCTTTGAACAGATTACAAATGCTTTTGGACATGTATCGGTTACTTTCATACAATTCTCTGCTGTTCTCTGCTGTTATAACATTATCATTTGCTTCTGTCCTGTCAGTCAAAATGAAACATACTGATTAAGCTGAATAGTCATTCCCTATAAAACCAATAGTCCTAATTTCATTGCTTTAGTCATTACATACAAAATTGTTGAACTAGTTCTCAAAATCAAAATCTGTTAAGCTAATTTCATATATTCTTTTGTCACTTTTTTCTTGAAAATCGTACCTAAATTGAACAATTTATCTTAGGTGAGTTTCAGCTTCACTCATGACGAGGTGTGTGTTTTATTGTTTACATTTGTCACAGTTCTACCATAATGATATTCTGTATGTTTGTTCTATGTATATACATGTATGTTACTGTATTTTTGTTGCACAATGCTGTAGAATTGCAAAGAGGCTATGCAGTAAATATGTGAAAGACATACAGTACACATACAAACATTACATATACACACATACATACGTACATACCTACATACAGTACATACATATGTGTCTTGTACTCAGTTACCTCTCTAAATGCAGTCATGTGTAACTATACTGTAGTTTTCAGCTGTACAGTGTATACTGTCTTCGAGATCTGACTTTTTTACATTGAAAACACAAAGAGAGTAAACTTTCACTATAAAAATATGACTAGACCATGTGACTGCTGTTCATACTCAATGGGGTCAGGACATATTATTTTGACGACACAGACAGTTTCTTTGACATGGAGACTTGCTTTTGAGGAATTAACTTTTCATTTTGAGAAGGTGATGCACTTTTGCAGGTTATCCACAAGGTTTTTCAGTTTGCACTAATTGTTCTGAGAAATGCAACTGTTGTGCAAATGTGAAGAATAATGTGAGAAATGCACCAAAGCCACTGAGAAAAACTGTAAACCTGTGGTCTCATCTCGGCCCTGAGGAGAACTGAGCCACCTTGAGCAGGACTGAATCACCCGGAGCCAAATAATCTTGAACAATCTGGAGTCTGTAGAAGAAGAGTGGACAGATCAAAGCTCACACTGAGCAGCAGCAGCGTCTTCTTCAGGCACAAAGCAGCGATAATGAGCTTCCTGTTGTTGTGCGACTTCTCTCTGCTGTTTTATATTCCCTTCTAAAGTCACCTAACTACTTATTAAGCTCAGTGTTGAGAGGGTTTATGTGACTATTTACAGTTCTGTTTGATCATTAGTGACTTGGCAGCGTTTCACAAACATAAATCATTCGGCTATAAATAAGAGACTGAAGAATTCTGTGGTCGAGGCTAATGATGAGTTTAACCGGACTCTTTAATGGCTCATACTTTATACATGTTTCCATTGAGTTTATGAAAGACACTTCTCTCACATCTGCGAACCCTGTAAACCTGCAAACCATTACAACACACTGCAGAGGAGAGAAGCTTCAGCTCAAGTTCAGGTTAACCCTAACCCAAAGAACTCAGCTCTTTGTGTGCAGGTCCTGAAGGTCACGATGCACTAGTGTCTTGGTATAACTCAGAGAAACATGGATAATCCCACAAAAACAAAGTCAATATTCACATTTGTTGAGTTGGTTGATTTGTCTTTGGGCTAACTGTTGGCAGTGTGTGGTGGATCTTCATCTGTGGAGGCCGTTTTACTCAATCTATGCATGTGACTGAGGTGAACTCCCATGATGCTCCAGTCTCCGATGGAGGGTCTAGAGCTGGTCCTGTGTTCCACGACCGAGACCAAAACCACACTTTCCTCCTGAATCCCAGAGACAACCATCGGACCAGGTCTTCTCTTCAGAACCCTTGAGTAGACCTTCCTGGGAACAGCATCTGGAAACAATGAAAACATGTGAATTTAGTGTCTCTTTAGTGAATCTTCAGCTGATGAGGTCCATGACTTTTCAATTTTATAAAATAGTCAACCAATGCAATCTTAAAACATTTGAATAATTTAAATGTTTAATGGTTTCCTTTGACACAGCCCCATTAGAGCAGCCTCTCTCCTCCTGGTCATGACACCAGAGAATAGCACCATAAAGACTCCTACAGTCTGTAAAAACAGGAGTGACAGTGAGAGTCTAAACGGCTGAGTTTAAAGCAGAGCAGGTTCATAACAGAGAAGGCCTCATTATCCACATGTTACAGTCTGTGACACCAGGGCTTTGGGTTTAACCGAGAGAGACACAAACTGAGACAGAAATGATGAAGGACGAGCACTTCCTATAATTACAATATTAATTGTAATATTGTTTACAATTAATATATTTATGTAATTAAACTTAATATGTGAAAGAAAACTCCATTCCCTGTCTCTCCTGATGCTGGTTTTACTTCCATTATTAACCCTTTGCTAACCCTTTTGCCGCCTTCTGCTTCTGAATGTCTCAGTTTCAACCAATGAGAGTTTATTTATGTCCCAAAGACACAATAAAATATGACTCTGATGGATTCACTGAGAACTGAGGGTAACAATAACAGAGACCAAAAAAGCAGACAAGTTAAAAATATATGACCTTAAAGGAACTACACCTGATTTATTTTCCAATGAGTTTATCAAAATACGTAATACTGCAAACAAGTTGTATTGTAATCCGTGATTTAATTGAAAACTTGAGCTCATTGATTCAGCTGTGTATGAATTCAGGACATAAAAAGTGTTGAATAGAGACTTAGCGTGACGCCCGCTCTCCACCAATCACAGAACGAGAAGTGGCGCTGTTGCAAATAGGCCACACCTCCTCTAGGCCATGCCTTCCCCAAGGCCACGCCTCCTCTAGGCCACGCCTCCTCTAGGCCACGCCTCCTCTAGACCAAGCCTCCTCTAGGCCAAGCGTCCTCTAGGCCACGCCTCCTATAGGCCACGCCTCCTCTAGGCCAAGCCTCCTCTAGGCCAAGCCTCCTTTAGGCCACGCCTCCTCTAGGCCACGCCTCCTCTAGCGTCTGCAGGTAAACAGAACAGTAGCAGAAAGTGGCTATAGCTCCTCTGTCTGTATCTGCAGACACAGCAACACAGCCCAAACTGAAAAGTGAGGAAGAGAAGAGGGAAGTAACGCGAAAAAATGGCGCAGGAGTCTCCAAAAAATTCTGCTAATTGAGAATAATGACATTCTAAAAGGATGATTAAGCTTAAATATAAAATACTAAAAACACACCTGTAAGAAAATCATCCTGGTTTTAATTCACTGAAGTGTGCTCTTCAAAACACATCATTAACAAACTGCTTTGTTAACAACAACTGCAACAACAAAAGGTTTTTTATATTTAGGTCTCAAAGATGCTTTTGTCATCTGCCTTTCACCTTTAGCTTGAGATATATTAATACTACTATATAATTAAAATGTTGACTTTAGTGAGATAAGTTTTATTTTAACTATTTCTGCTTTTTCAGGAGAAGAACAAGTTACATTCACTTTAAACATGTATTTGACAGAAAACAAAGTAAAGTAAAGAAAGTAAATGCGCATTACATTAAGTAATGTAAATAGTCTTAGTGTATATTATAATGATATATACTGTAAGTACTAACGCTGAGGTCGAACGATGAGGAAGTCCCATCATTTCCATAAAGTCCCATTCTCTAACATTAGGCAAGGCAAGGCAAGGCAAGTTTATTTGTATAGCACAATTCATACACAAGGCAACTCAAAGTGCTGAACAGACCAAGAAAGCAT